GAGAAACTTCCTGACAGTTAGAACAATTAACCAGTGGAACAACCTGCCTCCAGAAGCGGTGAATGCGCCAACACTGGAAGTTTTTAAGAAGAAACTGGACAGCCATTTGTCCGAAATGGTATAGGGTTTCCTGCCTGAGCAGGAGGTTGGACTAGATGACCTCCGAGGTCCCTTCCAACTTTATCATCATTATTATTATTAATGGCTGCTTTGCACGGATGGCAAGTTGGGTTCTCAGCAGGGCACTGGCATAGCTATGCAATGCATCCTTCCTTTCTCTCCCTTGGTTCTGATGGAAAGGGTGATTAAGGGATTCAATGTCTTCTGATGGATTGGTACCCCAAGCTCATTTCATGCCCTAATACAAGATTTCTTTTCCTTTTTCATTTCCCTATCTTCTCTCTCTCTGTCTCCCTCTCACTGTGCTCCAGGATGCGTCCTGTCCAAAAATCCGTGTGTGCACTGATGGTGCTGATAGCATCCCTGGCTTTCCTGTATCTTCACGTGTGGTCGCCAAAGCATTACAGTACGGTGGACATGCGACATCGGCCTGATCAGCTGCCCCGGCTTTTGTTGCCCGATCACCTGCTGGTGCCCGACAAGAAATATATGCACATTGCTTTCCGGATCAAAGAGGAGATTCTGCAGTAAGGCAGATTTCTTTACACCCCCCACGATTCCTATTTCCTAAAGGCACTATCGATTTCACATTGTACTTCCCCCTTTTTTGTATTTTGCAGCATTTTATTTTTGTAATTGTGTGTTTTCCTTCCTTTTTTAAATTTGCAAAAGTGTTCTGCCAAGGAGTCCTCTTTTCTTCCTTCTCCTGCCTACAATACCCCAGGTGTTATTCCTTCCCTTCCTGCCCCCTTCCCTGAGAATTGAGAATCTGATCATCAAAGAGACCTGGCACTTCTGCATATTTAGGCTGGATTTAGGGTCCAGAGACTTGATAAACAGCTTACATGTTACACATCAGCAAATCATACAGCCAGTTGACCTTCTATTTTAAAATTGTCCTCTTAAGTTGGCAAGGGTTGGAGAAAATCTTGCATTCTTGGTGCTTGTTTCAACCAGGACATGGCTTGAGTGGCTGAATCTGGGCCAATAAATATATATTGCAAGAAGAATGATGGCCTTCAAATCAGTCACTGGAGATGTGAAACAAGCAACTCATGCAACAGAGAGCATAGTATTCCAAAGTTGAATGACTAGAAGGGTTGTCATCTTCCCCTGGGTTGCCCTTTAGTGAAGGGCTACAGCTGCACATAGTATGAATGAATCTGCAGGTAACCCTCCTCCCTTCTACCTGGCTCTTCAGATACTAAGCATGCCTTTGTGCATTTTCAAGGGCACTTTGTCCATAGTTAGTGTCCAGCCTATCTGTTGTGAAAAGTAAATATTTTTCTTAAACATTCTTAAAAATAAATGGTTGCTCATTTGCTGAAGTGTCTTGCTGTGCAAGATGGGCATCTTTACATTGCCTGATTGTGACCTAAAGCAACCAGAACATTCTTCTGCAGTGTTGAGTGTTGTATCTCCATCCCTTTGGCAGGCTTCTTCCTAAAAATTCCTGTAAATGTGAAGTACAAGCAAGTTTGAACCTGCCCTTTCAGAAAGCGCTCTTTGGTCAGGAGTACTCTGCGGAATTTACCAATAGCTTTGAGCCTTCTGAGCTGGTGGACATCAACAGCAAACGGGAACAGGAATACCATGGTTATCAACAAAGGTGAGTAATGGCCAGAGCTGGGCATAATCTTGGATTGCATCGAGCATTGGATGAGACATCTCAAGAAGCTGATTTTGGCCATTAAGGCTTCTATGAGACAAGTGGCCACTAATGAGCAACATGACCAATGAACAGAATGTAGGGTACCTTAATGATATATAGGAGGCAACAAGCACATGCAGAAATATGCCTGACATAATCTTATATAAAATATGAACAGCTTGGATTTTATATTATGTTTCTGCATTGTTTCAAACAGGAAAAGAGAAGATCGTAAAATCTATAGGATTCAAGGTTTTCCTTTCCAATGCCAAACCTCTTTAGCCTGAATGTATTCAGTCCAGTTTTAGAGAGTAATTATGCATAGGTTGTTTTATAGCTCGAGCAGAAAAGAATATTGCTAAGTAAGATCAAGACATTCCTCACTAAAGTTTTCATACAAACTTATGCAAATCAGCTTGGCAGACTTCCTTCACAGGGTTTTTCCATGATGAGAGCACTAAAACTATAAAAGCCATCTTGCTTGTTCTTTTTTTTTTTCTAGCCATTAGAAACCTATGATGGATGATGGCTTGTAAATTATATACGAGGAAGCATTTGTTAAGGAAACTGGTCCTGATCAAGAGTTTGCATTTCTCCCATATTGGAAGCCAAAAAGCTTCTTAAAGAATTCTTGGCAGCATGTCCTGAAAATAAGTGGTATTCATAATTTGCATTGGTGGCATTTTTGATGGCATTTTTTTGGTGACAGTTGACCCAAGGGTTAAGGGTAGCACCTTTTCAGCTGGGATCAGCATGGCATGTAAACATGGTGTTCATGCTGTGAAATTTTCATTAATTGTTTTCCGCAGTATGGCTTATTTTTGGTTGAAAACAGTGAGACAGGCATAGTCATTCCACCCAGCCAGCAGCTTTCAGCAGTTCATAGAATCAAGGTTCGTTTGATAGATGCCAGTTCCCCATGCCACCAAACAAAGGACAAACAGATCCATCCCTTTCCACACCCATTGCATGATTTACAAACGTGATTGCCTCTCACCCCCAGTCAGATCCCCTCTCAACTTGCAGGCTTTCTGATATAATGAAAGAGTCTTTGAACCAATGAAAAAAGACAGAGCAAATTAAATTTGTGGGGAATTTAATAATCTTCCAGACATTTATTGCTAAATTCTAACAATATCTCTCACCATTGACTATATTGGCTGTTGAGAGTTATTGTTTAGCAATTGATAAAGGGTAAACCAAGAAGTTTTTAAAAAAGAAATCAATAACATTCTGAATGTAATTAATGGCAAATGACTTCCCTATATGGTTATCAAGAAAATAATATAAATATTTCCCCGAGGACACTGGGAATTGAACTCAACTTGAAGAAAGCTTTAGTGAACTGCTGTTAAGATACCACTTCTGTTTTTAGGCTAAAATAATCCATTATTTTACTTGAAGTAGTTTTCCAGTAGCACTCAGTGCTGTCCTTGAGCATTTAAATCAGGGGTGTCCAATCCTGGCACTTTTTAAGAGTTGTAGACTTCAATTCCCAGAATTCCCCATTTTGGTTGAGGAATTCTGAGAGTTGAAGTCCACAAATCTTAAAGTTGCCAAGGTTGGACACTCCTGATTTAAAAGCTTGTGTGGCAGGATTAATTGACCCATGGATTAGAAATATCTCTGGACAACCTTTCATCCTTATGGATATTGAACTGACATACAACATTATTTATTTTTGTGCTTTCAAATAAGTCATGACTCTTAGTTACTTCCTGGACAAGTCCCTGCAGTTTTCTTAGCAAAATTACAGAAGTGGTTTGGCCTTGCCTAATTTCCTAGGGCTGAGAGCGAGGGATTGGCACAAGTCCCAGTGATTTTATTTTAAAAACATGTGGTCTTCTAGCTTCTAGTCTAGTTTCTAGGCAGTGCGATTAACCATAATACAAACACTCAACTTGTGTTTAATTAGATTCTCTTTATCTAGTTTTAAGACTTGTATGGAGAACAAATCATGTGTTAGGTAATACATATGCAGAAACACTGAAAATTCAAAAGAGTCCAGAAATGTTTAAGCACCCTTGTACATGAATTACAACAACAGAATAAGCAGCTTACTGTGCACGAGCTAAAGCAAATAAAATATTCTCAGTCAGTTTTAAATGTATGAGTCCTTCCAGACATAGTAAAAGGTGGAGGGTAGAAAGTCTACTAGTTGTAAAAGTATCTGACAGAACAAAAGATAAGCCTGATTTTCAGAAGTTGATCATTGAAAAATTCACATCAAACATCTTTAAGAACAGCCTTTGCTTGGTGTGTTCAGTGTGGATTGTAATAGAACTCTGATTATATTCAGGGATGATAGGGAAAGATATGTTCAGTGGATCTGAAAGATATCATCTGGAGAAGATGACACTACACTACCATGTAATTCCCTTGCTCTTTTTAGAACTGCCTCTAAAGGCAAATAACATATCTATGAAATTATCTGGAAACTGCGAGCAAATGTGAGCAAATCTATTTTTGGAACATACTTCTTAGAAGCTAGAAAAACATGGGATAGATAACACAGCACCAGATGAGTTTGTAACTGGCTGACAAATTGTACTCGATGTGTAGTCCTTAAAGGACATCTACACGGAGGGAAATAAGCAGTGGGATACCCCAAGGTTCTGTTTTAGGCCCAATACTCTTCAATATCTTCATAAATGATCTAGACGAGGGAATAGAAGGGGAAATTCATCAAATTTGAAGATGAAATTAAAGTGGCAGGAATAACCATCACCCCAGAAGACAAGCTTAAGATCCAAAAAGACAGACTTGTATGCTGTGCCCCATCTAACAAAATGAAATTTAATGAAGATAAAAAGTAAGGTTTACACTTAGGCAAGAAAAACCAACTGTATAGGTACAGACTAAGTGAAACATGGCTTAATGCCAGTAACTGTGAGAGGGATCTTGGAGTCCTAGTAGACAATCACTTAAATAAGAGCCAAGAGTTTGCGGCAGCAGCCAAAAAAGCCAATACAATCCTGGGCTGCATTAATAGAGGGATAGATCAACGTCACGTGAAAGTCTAGTGCCGCTTTACAAAGCCTTAGTAAGACCACACTTGGAATACTGCATCCAGTTTTGGTCACCACAATACAAAAAAGATGTTGAGACTCTGGAAAGAGCGCAGAGAAAAGCAACAAGAATGATTAGGGGGCTGGAGGCTAAAACATACTAAGAATGATTATAGGAATTAGGTATGTCTAATCTAATGAAAAGAAGGGCTAGGGGAGACATGATAGCAGTGTTCAATATTTGAGGGGCACCTACAAAGATGAGGGGTTCAAACTATTCTCCAAAACACCTGAAGGCAGGACAAGAAACAATGGATGGAAACTAATCAAGGAGAGAAGCGGCCTAGAACTAAGGAGAAAATTCCTAACGGTGAGAGCAATCAACCAATGGAACGGCTGGCCTTCAGAAGTGGTGGGTGTTCCATCACTTGAGGCTTTCAAAAAGAGACTGGACAACCATTTGTCTGAAATAGTATAGGGTCCTCCAAGGTCCCTTCCAACTCTATTATTCTATGTTTTGTGTTCTAAGTTACTTAATTGTTGAAAATCATTCTCTCCTGTCACCTGCTATAGACCATTTGGATTGGAAATGCCAGAGCTGAGACTTCTTCAGGAAGAACTTACATTATTAAGCTCCGGAGCCTCTGACTTTTCCTTTTGGTGACTGAACATGTAGACAAAAACTTTCTTATGCCCTGAAAGTTGACATTAAGTGAAAGTGTTTATTTCTCTTCCCCGTTCTCTTCTTTTGTGTGCCCAAAACTCTTTTAAAATCAGTAACATTAAAAATCTCCCATTGGCCTTCCATTGCTTAACAAGACATTAACACTCAGCAAGTGCTGAAAATTAAAATGTTTAATTTTAGTGTGTGGCAGTGAAAGAGTTAATGGCATGAGATATAGATGGAAAAAATTCTGTGTTGCCTCCCTCCCATTCCTGCTCTAAGCATGTACTTGTTTTGCTGGACTTAGCTGGATTCTTTATCTTCCATTAGTCACTGATGGTATCAGTGCTTTAAATAATGGGTGAAATATTTGCAGAAAGCCAAATCAGACTGAGATTTAGCCTGTGCTGTTTTGCAGTGGGAAGAGTATAACACGTTCACTTTTTTCCCTCATAAAACCTAGGTACAATGACCAAATGTTCTGAGAAAAAGTAAGGGAGAAATGTGAAAAAGGGACAAATCTGAAAAGTAAGGATAAAAAAAAAAATGTCCACTTTGCTTTACAAAGAAAAATTTAAGAGCAAAACCAAGGCAAACTTTACAAAAACATATATTCTATTTTTTTTTTTAATCTGTTCAATCATGTCTAGTTCTCAGAGACTTTCTGGATCAGTGCCTTTAGTTCTCTTGGCAAAGTTTTTCAGAAGTGAGTTGTCATTGCCTCCTTAGATTTGAAAGAAAGTGACCAGCCTAACGTCAGTCACCCAGATGGTTTTATGCCTAAGGCAGAACTAGAACTCACCTTCTAGCCTGTTGCCATAACCATTACACTGAACTGACTCTCATATGCTAATGAAAATATCTAAAATCAAATGGTACAGGTAGTGTTTGACTTATGACCACTTGTTTAGTGACCGTTCAAAGTTACAACGGCACTGAAAAAAATTGACATGATAGTTTTTCACATTTATAACCATTGCAGCATCCTCGTGGTCATGTGATTAAAATTCAGTCGCTTGGCAACTGGCATTGTCTATGAGGGTTGCGGTGGCCCGGGATCATGTGATCACCTTTTACAAGCAAAGTCAATGGGAAAGCGAGATTCACTAAATAACTGTGTTACTAACTTAACAACTACAATGATTCACTTAACAACTGAGGCAAGAAAGGTTGTAAAATGAGGCAAAACTCACTTAACAACTGTCTTGTTTAGCAATGGAAATTTTGGGCTCAATTACCTGATTATATATGTCTATGGCAGTGATGGTGAACCTTTTAGAGAATGAGTGCCCAAACCGCAACCCAAAACCCACTTATGCATCGTCGAGTGCCGGGGTGTGTGGCCCATTGGGTGGGCGTGGCTGCGGTGGTAACGGCAGACAGGGTGGGACTAAAAAGTTCAATCAATCAATTCCAACTTTGCAAGATCTTTTTTTCCCCGCGAGAAGTTGAAATTGACTGATTGAAACTTTTTTTTTTTTGCACACGGCGGTGGAGGCCTAAAAAGAAAAGGTTTTATAAATCCCAGCTGAAGGCCTAGGACTGGGGCGATGGTGCGCGTGCCCACAGAGAGGGCTCTGAGTGCCGCCTCTGGCACCCGTGCCATAGGTTCGCCACCACTGGTCTATGGACTCATCCAAGTCATAGTTATCCCAAAGGTGCTTTTTCAAGAGGCAACTGGACTTTCTTGTTTTTCTTTGAAGATGTTTCGCTTCTCATCCAAGAAGCTTCTTTGGCTTTGAAGCTTCTTCAGCTTCTTGGATGAGAAGCGAAACGTCTTCAAAGAAAAACGAGAAAGTCCAGTTGCCTCTTGAAAAAGCACTTTCGGGACTACCTGATTATATATAAATTTATTTTAGAAAGGCAATTCAGTTTCCATATTTTTCATATGAAAGTGAGAGATTACACTAAATGGTACAATTTGTATGATAAAAGTTAAATGACCAAACTAAGGGCAAAAGTGAATTTTTGAAAAATCAAAAAAATTTGAAATAAAGGACTGTCTTTATAATAAAGAATGCAGTTATAGGGCTAAAAATTGTTATGTGCCATTCTGCAGTCTTGTTGACATATTTCAGTTAAACTAACTACATTAGGAAAGATGGAAAGGAAACTGTATGATGAGAAACCATGGGAAATATATACAAAATATTCATTCATTCATTCATTCATTCATTCATTTATAGGATCTATATGGGTGCCCAGCTCAGAGCAGTGACTCTGGGCAGCAAATAAAGTTAAATCAATAATTAAGCCGTTCCAAATGATAAACATCCAAGGTTACAAACAACCATTCCAACTTACTGGGAAACAGTATCATTTGATAAGACAGAAGATTGATTGGTTGTTAGTTTCCCTGAGCACCATGTACTTTTTAAAAATGATTATAATTAATTGTGCCTTCCTGTCATGGGAAGTCAGAAGCATTTCTGGATTAACCTGTATTTCAGGTACGTGAAGTACAAGTTCCCAAAAAAACTATAAAATATTAATTACAATGAATGAATGTATTGTTTGATCTTCCCAGTAATAGGAAATGCAAATCCCAGTGAGCAGCATGAGGCTTAGTTTTGAATAAGCAACCTGCTAGACTTATTCCAGGAGGCCTGAAGTTCTAAATTTACTGCCATGAAAATAATGCAAATAATGGATTTCCCTCCGTGTGAACAGGCTTAAATATTAGCCACTGAGGACCAGAACAGCAGAGGAAAGTATTAAGCAACTATGTTTTAAAGTAACCACGGCGAGAAAATGCTTGGCATGTGTAACTGTCATTCCTCGGAAGTATTTTTGCTTATCAATGAAAGCCAGATGTTGGCACTCTAAACTGCCTGCCTTTATCTCCATCAGGTCTCGGTCTCCACTTGATCAGCTGATCATTGTCCAAGCCAACTCACCACTAGAATATCCAGTTCAAGGTGTAAAAGTTCGCCCCCTCCAGACCACTCTTATTCCAGGCAAGCCTTTTATTTTATGTGCATGTCAAAAGAAGCAAAGAGAGAAGAGAGGGTCTGTCTATCACAGTGTCAGAGTGTGTGATGAATGTAATGGCACATGGAGTGGCAAAAACTTTTCACTTTCGTGTGTTTCTTTCCCCACAGGCTTGAGCTTGCAGGCAGCTGAAAGAACAGTATATCGGGTAAGATAGCAATAGCAATAGCACTTAGACTTATACACCATTCATAGTGCCTTACAGTCCTCTCTAAGTGGTTTACAGAACCAGCCTACTCCCTCCAACAATCCGGGTCCTCATTTTATTGACCTCAGAAGGATGGAAGGCTAAGTCAACCTTGAGCCGGTCAGGAATGAACTCCTGGCAGTGGGCAGAATTAGCCTGCAATACTGCATTCTAGCCACTGCGCCACCACAGCTCAGTGGTGCTTGATGCCCAGCAGTTGGAGGGCAGGGTTAGGGTGTGGGTCTCTCACCCTGAGGCCGCTTTATTAATTGTTGCTGGCATTCATGAACTGTAGCAAGAATTGAGGATCCTTTATGTGGGCTACCTTTTGGCTTGCTCTTTGAATGTTTCCTCCTTTAAAACAGGTCTGGCAAGCTTGTTTTGGAAGGAAACATAATTTTCTTGGAAATAAATTTTGGAAGCCATCAAAAGGGCTGTCAATGATTAATAATTTCACTTGTTGTGTTTCCATTGTCATGGCACTACGTAGTGCTGGGACGCTCTGCTTAGATGCCAGCATAACTTGGATGGATTTCTGAAGTGTAGGGTTGACATAAGAGGAGTAGCCCCGATGTCTAGAAAAAGAGGGCATTGAAAAATGTGCATGTTGCTTGTGAACTAAAATTACACAAAGGAGTGTAGGGGGTTTTTTTGGTGCAGAGGGATAAAAGGAATAGAGCATTCCAATATGTGTATAGACTCCCATCTGAAAGGGGACAGGCCAGGAAAAGCTGATTGCCTAATTTTGATGAATCAGGATGAAAGGTGTCCTTTTTCTTTAGGAGTAATGATAACATTTTTTTTAACAGCCCTTCTCCACATGACCCTTACATTCTTTTTTTTTCCCCTGGTTATTTGTCCTTATGGCAGGTCAACCTGACAGCAAAAATGGGTACTTTTGATGTGGCTGCGGAGGTAGAAGGCGTCAAAGTGGAAGGGGAGGGACAAATGCACCTCTCCCTGTCCGGATCCCAGCTGGACAATCTAAACCGGCAAATGCAGTTTGTCACCTACACTAACACCCTCTTCCATCCTAATACAGCAGATATAGGTGGGTATGGGGGCAATCATTACCACTGCAAATATCAGTAGTGGGGCAAACCACTGGAGGGGAACTGTAAACATCACTGTGAGAAAGGAGGGCAAATTGAAAAGGAAGTTGCTGGAGGTGGGGAGAGAAACAAACACTTTTGAGGCAGGCCAGTTCCCCCCTCAGGTATATCCATTGTCAGTCCTTCACTGGAGGAGCCCCCACCTTAATATACATAATATGGGACTATTGTGGTAAAGGTAGAATCCTCCTCGAAGCAAACTTCCCTAGATGGACAGATCCATGTTGTTTTCTGGGCAAAAAAAAATGACTACTGTCATATTAATACTAGGCAATAGTATTGTTTGCCATGGCTTTCTCCCTAGATGTTGTTTTAAGTTTCCTGATGGATACCACTAGTTCTAGTATGAAACCAAAAATGTGAGCTATCAGGCAGCCAGAATTCAAATCTTGCTCTGCTGATGAATAATCTTTCTGTCATGGTTCCAACAGACAGAGACATATAAAGCAGAACTCCGAGGCTTGGAAATTCCTCAAAGAACATGTTTATTAGTTAAAAGTATCAGCTCGATCAAAAGCAAAACTGGTTCATTGTACAGTTGACATTTTGCTCAAGCTAGAAACCAGGAGACCGTGAGTTCTAGTCTCGCCTTAGACATGAAAGCCAGCTTCGTGCTTTGGGCTACTCGCTCTGAGCCCAACCCACTTCACAGGGTTGTTGTTGTGGGGAAAATAAGAGGAAGGAGTAGTGTGTGTGCGTTTGTCACTTAGAGTTATTTATAAAAATAATAAAGGTAAAATAAAAATAATCTAGGTAAAGCTATAGGTTTCCCCTGTCCAGTCGTGTCTGATTCTAGGGGGCAGTGCTTATCTCTGTTTCTTAGTCAGGGGAGCCAGCGTTGTCTGCAGACATTTCCGTGGTCATGTGGTCAGCATGACTATACACTGAGGGGCATGGAAAGCTGTTACCGTCCCATCGAAGTGGTACCTATTTATCTACTTGCATCTGCAGGCTTTCAAATTGCTAGGTTAGCAGGAGCTTGGGTAAGAATAGGAGCTCACCCTATTGCACGGAGCTCAGGTCTTGAACCCCGGGCTGTTAGCTCTCCAGCTGACAAGCTCAGCGTCTTTAACCACTGAGCCATCATGCCTTCCCAAATGATCTTAAAAATTAAAAAAAAAAATTAAAAACCCTTGGGAAATCTCTTTTGCTTCCTATGGCCAGTTCCTAATGTGGAGGTAATTGCTAGAGTTTGCAGTTTGGGCAGTTCCTATTGTGATCTTACCTATTTGATTCAGGCCTGCAGAATCGATTGGCTTTTCCTTCTGAGAAATGTTTCAGTAATAGAAAAGGCAGTGGATGAATCCTCTTTTGCTGTCCTGAAAATCCCCAAAGTTTCACTACCCCAATTCAACCAATCACAAGGCGGTCTTTTCCCGCCGTGCGTATGCGCGCAAGGCCGGCGCCACTCAGTCTGGTCCCGGGCAGCTTTTGCAAATGCCCAGGACTCTTGCAACGTCCCGAGCCTGCTTTTGCAGGCTCAGGACACAACACCCCTCCCCCCTAGATGAAATAATACGGCGCCCACATGGATGCCATCATAGTGATGGTTATATAGTTAACTGATGAGTTAAGTTACACAGTGTGTATAAGATGTGGAACTGTTCCGTCATACAGAGACCCAGTAGCCCCAACATCGTTTACATAAAGTCAACCAGTCAAAACCTCTAGTTCAGTAATTGCAGTTAACATGCTCACCTTACGTAATCTGCAAGGTATTTGGGAGGGCCTTTGACCCTGAGCGACCTTCTCGGACCTGGGGAACTTGTAGTGTTTTCCCCGTGGCTTCCCACACTAGGTGAATTGTCCTGTGGTTGTCTTGTGACTTCAGTTTGACTTTCCTGCCTGTCTCTTAGGCTTGAGAAGTCAGAACTCTGTTGATCACTATACCTGGTTGACCTACCACCTATGGAGTTTTCCAACCCCTCTGAACTCATCCCCGTGTTTCCTGACGGAGTGTGGTTTTCCAGGCTCCTTCCTGTAGTGTTAGGGTCTAGGGATGCCTCCCTGTTAGCCCTTATACGTGGGGACATCCTTCTATGAGCCATTTCAGCAAAGGACGTGTTTCCCCTCTGTTTTGCCTGCTCTCTTGCATGTTGTGAGTTGTGAGTATGCTCCCAGTTATTCTCCGTGTCTGGAGTATTGTTTGTGAGGTATGGATAGTTAGTATACCTCCGGTGGGACTCCCAGGCTGGAGTGTGTGTGGGGGTGTCTGTGTGCCCCCGTCCCCATGAATTGCTACCTGAATCACCTGTGGAACTTGGGTGTTGAGAG